CTCGCTGCAGTTGTCATATATAAAAACAAAAGTTCCATGACTTTTTTCTAGTTGCCTATCCATGTACTTTAACCTTTAAAATCTTCTGAATTAATGCACATATTTGTACCCAAAATATTTTGGCTTTTTTACATCTCCACCAAACATGATAAAATGTCCTTTCATGTTTTTCACATTTCCAGCAAAAATTCAAAATACCTTTATATGTACTTGACAATTTCTCTGGTGACAAATACCAATGATACATCATTTTATAAAAATTCTATTTAAGGCTAGAGCATAATGTAAATTTTAATCCTTTCAACCACTTATTTTCCCATTGATCCATTTGTATATTCTAGCCAAAGTTTTAGCCCATTTTATCATACATTCTTTCACTTGCTCTTCCTGTCTCATATTTCAGCAAAAGTTTATAATTTTAGCAATAGCACGTTCATCATTAGTACATAATTCTATTTCAAACTCAGCCTTACTTTGTTAAAAACCATAAAATCTTTTATCCACTTTAAACCTTTCTGATAATTGTACATAAGAAAACCATTGACAAGTATACCCTTCTGTAGTCAAATCTTCTCTTGATTTCATTTTATAACCCCCTTGAAAGAATTCTAGTACATTATGAGAAGTTAACTATTTATGTTATCATTTCTCATCTATAAAATGCTTCTTGTGCTGAAAGCCACAGAGGTGTTTTCAGGCAGAACCTAAATTTATATTTATTCCATACTCTAAGGATGGCTCGTCTAACATAATGATTTCTGAATTAACCTTAGCTTTGTCATACCACAGATATCCATGTCATCCCAATCTCAAATCGTGTTCTCCTAACTCCAATAGCCTTCTGTTTCTTAATAACCCCCACTGTTTCACCCAAACTAAACAACAGGCAGCAAAGTATAATTTCAAATCTGGTAGACCCAATCCTCCTCTTTGTTTTGCAACTTGTTGTACCTTATATTTGATTCCCGGGGGGGGGGGTTCCCCTGCCATACAAATTTAGATATATCCTTCTGTCATTGTTTAAATGATACATCAGTTGTCAAAACAGGTATTGTCTGAAACAAAAATAACGTTCTAGGTAAAACATTCATCTTAATCACAGAGATTCTATCCAATAGTTACAATTGCAGTTTGTCCCACCTTAACCCTGTATCTTTTAAAACTTAATTTCATGTCTTAACATAGTTATTTTGAAATAACATATAATTCATATTTGCCATAGTTACACCCAAGTAGTTTACCTTCTTCTCAATCTTAAAACTTGTTTTATTCATCAGTTGTTTGATCTTCTATCTTCATGTTTTTTGTTAATATCTTTGTCTTCTGTTTATTAATCTTGAAACCTGCTAAGAGCCCAAATTCATTTAATTTACTATTAAAAATTCAATTCCCTTTAAGGGGTCTGCCTAAACCAAAACTAAGTCATCTGCAAAAGCTGTTAACTTGTATGACTCTTTTTTTAATCTTTATGCCTACAATCTTCTCATCTTGCCTTATATCTCAATTCAATATTTCAAGGACTAAAATAAACAAAAGAGGAGGCAGTGAGCAACCTTGTCTTGTTCCTTTTTGTATCTCACATGGTTTAGTTAAATCTCCATTAACAATT